TAAATTCCAGAATTCAGCATTTTAATACCTAATCCTCCTTTTCTCTTGCAGCACACTCTATCCCAGGAAATATTTCTACGTTTGTTAATATCCTTACCATGCCATAGAAAATTTCTACATATGGTATTAATACTCTAAAAAATAGCCTTAGGGAGAACTATAATTTGAGACCAGTATACATGGACACTCATAAGAACAGCGTTTATCAGGACAACTCTAGCAGCAAAAGAGAGGTTTCTAGAGCTCTAGATTTTATCTATTACATGCTCAAACTCAACTGCATAAATTCTTTTTGAGCATGTCGGCACCCTAAGCACCAAAAGGCAGATTACCTCTTACAAACCCAGTAATACCTAGCACAACTGAGGTTTTCTCAAGACTAGCCTTTAGACCAGTTGCTTTGGAAAAAACTTCTTAACCTTTCATCATCAACTTAATAGAATCCACATCTCCTTTACAGCAAAGAATAAGGTCATGAGCTAAACACAAGTGATGAGTCAGACCCATAGCTTTACACCTTAGGTGGAACTTAAAATTCTCCATACCACTCACAACCTTCACAATTCTGTAAAGGTATTCAATACAAAAGAAAAATAGAAGATGGAAGAGGGGATCACCCTATCTGAAACCTATTTTTGCCTAAAAAAGGCATGTAGACCCCTATTAATCATCAGAGAAAACCTAGGGGTTTAAACACATAACATGATCATGTCAATGAAGCATTGAGGAAATTTTAAAGCCTTCAACATCTCTTCTATGAAGTTCTATTCCACTGTATCATAAGCCTTCTTTAAATCTAGCTTAATTAAACAACCTGCAGCTACATTTACATTACCATAATGCCTAACCAAGTCGTGATAGATCATAATGTTATGCATTATATGCATCTACTGTGCACAAATGCACTTTGATTCTCAGCAATTATATGAGGGAGTATCAATCTGAGTCTCTCACATATCACTTTAAAGATTCCTTTATATATCACATTACAACATGAAATGGGACTGAACTCTGTAACACTCCCTGGGAACTTAGTCTTTGGAGACTAAGGTAATCGAGGTAGTGTTAATCTGTCTCAACATTTTCATGTTCTCCAAGAAATCCAAAATTGCTTTACAAACATCATACCCTACCTCACTCCAAGCATCCTTAAAGAATCCACTCCCAAATCCATCAGGACCGGACCTGGAGCTTTAGTCTCATCTATGTAAAAAATAGTTGCCTTAACTTCAGCTGTTGTATAAGGTCTGACTAATGATGTCACCATTTCCTCATTAAGTACAGTACCCTTTTGAATAACTTTTTAATTTACCAGTTCTCTATTATCAGCATTTGTTCCCAAAAGTGCTTGCTAATACTAAAAAAAAAGCCTGAAAAACTTTCTGAGTATCATTTACGTAGTTCCCATTCATATTAGTGATGGGGTATATCCTATTCTAAACTTGTCTTTTCTTCAAGGCTCTATGAAACATGGCAGTATTCTTATCTCCCTCTAGAATCTTGTCAGCTTTGGCTTTTGTCTAAGAAATGATAGATACGTTTTATTACTAATACCATATTCCTTCCTAGCATCAACTTCAGACTTTATGGCTTCTATGTCCCTTAGATGAGTGTGCAGATAAGTTTGAGCTTGATTGAGAGTGTCTGCAGCAACCTGGAAATTCTTCACAATATCCTAAAAATTATTTTTACTGAAACTAAGCAAATCCTTCTTAACATTTTTTTTAATTTCTACACCACTTGATACATAGGTGTCCCTAAGATTGAGATACCCCAAGCTTGTCTCACCATTTCTTCAAAACCCTGGAAAGGTACTCCATATGTTGAAGTATCTAAAAGATTTCTTAGTATAGCATTGATCAGGGTAAACTATGACCACCCAAAAACAGTGATCAAAATCACCTTCACTAACAAAAGCCATGTTAGAATGTTCAAAGCTAGTACATCATCGATCATTCACTAAGCCTTTGTCAATTTTAGAGAAAACTCTAGCTGAACCCTGTTGCTTGTTATTCCAAGTATAGAAGTTGCCACTATACTTGATGTCCTGCAAATGACAGTACTCAACACGTTTTCCTAAATCCTCCATTTCATCCCATCTAACAATAGCCCCAATTATCTCTTCAGCCTCCAAAATACAGTTGAAATCACTAACTACTAACCAAGGTCTATCCTTATAAGCATACAAACCTTGTAAATTCTTCCAAAGCTCCAATCTCTCTCTAACAGAATTAAAACCATATACAAAAGTGCAATCAAACTTAACACTCCTGTTTTTAGGTTGAATATGATAGTGCATAAGCTTGCTAGTACTATGTAAGATACTAACATTAAAAGCACCATGATTCCACCTAAAAAAATCCTTCCTCTAGGATGAGTACTATTATTGCAAGAGAAACACCATCCATAAAAAAAATTAAGGTATAAAGCCCCTCGATAAGGATATTTTACCTTAGTTTCAAGGAGACCAACCAACCCACAGTTATAGAGTTTAATTACTCTCTTAATCTCTTTTTTCTTGCCAAGTTAGTTACCTCCCCTATCTAACATTCCAAGACATGATTCTATCCATACTGGCCAGAGGGTTCTCCTCCCTCTGCAGTATAGTTAACCAGAGCCTCCATCTTGTCATTCTCTACTTTAGTCTGCTCCTCTGCCAAAACAGCAAAAGTATTGTGCACTTGGACCCTACTAACTGTGCAAGGTGTCCATTTCGCAGTCTTGCCCCTAGTTTGAAAACCATTATATTCGTGTTGTTCCTTTTCCTCTCTTGAACCCTCCTTCTCCTGCTCCACATCCTTATGCTCTTCTGTAATCTTCTTACTTGGTTTCTTTTGAACCCATTCAGGCTTTTTTTTTCTAGCTGCATTCCGTTTCTCTTGCAATTTTAATTTGAGCAGAATGCCCAAGTATTTTGCAAGAATTGCATACAACAAATCTCCAATCATTCTGTAAATTGATTTCCACCATTACACCCTTCTCATTCATGAATTCAATTTGATCAAGGAGAGAATGATCAATGCCCACTTCAATCAGAACTTTAGCAAATTAAAGTTTCTCTCAGTTTGCAGTTGTTGGATCAAGCTTTACATACTTTCTGAACTTGCTCACAATCTTTCTGATTGCCTTTTCAACCCAATATTTCAAGTCCAGATTCCAAAGTTGTACCCAAATAGGCGTAATTTTGAATTCTTCACTGGTAATCTTCAAATCAGGTTATGTCTTAAGAGCATCTTTAAGGGTGAACATTTTAATAGTTCACAATGAGTGAACAAATAAGATGGTGGCTTAATGGCAAACTCTTAATTGTTCATGTTGAGTGGTCATGGATTCGATTGCAGGAGCAAGCACTTGCATGAATTAATTCGCTGTGGGCCCCACCAATATTTTGGACTGATATTCATGCAAAACGACGTCGTTTTGCTGTTTCATGTTGCAAAACGACGTCGTTTTGCTGTTAAAGGTCAGAAAAAAAAATAGAAATCAGCGGCTGGGAGCGCGCCACTTGGCCCAGCCGCTGCTTGACACGTGTGTACTGTTTTAAATATATCCGTTGTAATTTTACAACAGATATATTTTACAAAATACAAATAAAAAAAAAAAAATTACCAACGACTCTATTTTTTCCCCTCTATAAATAGACACCCATATTGATATACTTTTTTCAACTTTGAAAAATTCATTTTTTTCTATTATATTTTTCTCTTCAAAAATCCCCTCTATAATTACCAATATTATTATTATTTATACCAATATTAATATTATTATTGTTATTATTATTTTTAATTATTATCATTAATATTATTATTATCGTTACTATTATTTTTATTATTATCGTTATTATTATTATTATTATTATTATTATCGTTATTATTATTATTATTATTATCGTTATTATTATTATTATTATTATTATCGTTATTATTATTTTTATTATTATTGTTATTATTATTATTAAATTTTTATTTTTTTCCAAATATAAATTATAATTATGGATGCTAATACCAACCCCAAAACAAATAGAAAGAAGAAAAAAAATTTGGGTCAAAATATGATCCCGAATCAAGCCAATTTTCCTCCAATTCACCCAAATTTTTCACAAACACCCACAAATATTCCCCATAATTTTTCTGGAGTTTATCCTCAAATACCCCAGTCAAGTTTCCCAAATAATCCACCAAATTTCCCTCAAAATTTTAATTTTTCTCAAAGTAGTTCAAATTTCCCACATCCATCCATGTAATTCTTTGTTTGTCATAACCCATGTGATCTTTGTTTCTTTATATTCAGTTATTTCTGAAGAAGAATTACAAATTAGTTCACTATAAATAAACACCATTCTTTCATTTTTTTTACACACAAACACATAAATCGTTTGCAGTTACTATTAGCAAACCTCACTCTATCTTACATTTCTTACGTACAAAATGAATTCAAACAGTTTAAACGAAAGCTCAACCGATTCCTCTTCATCTTCATCTAACTCGGATGATGAGGGAAGGGAGCTTAGAGTTCAACAACGTAATGAAGTGTGTCTTATGATACAACACGTAATGCATGAGTACATTCCACCAATTATTCAAGCTGCCACCCAGCAACGCCGACGCAAATCTACTGAGCCCCGAAAGGATAGGGGACGCGAAGAAGGTCATGCACGGTTATACAATGACTATTTCGCGAAAGTCCCATTTTATCCAAGTTCCTTGTTCCGGCGCCGGTTTCGAATGCGTAAACATGTGTTTGAGCGCCTTCTCAACGCAGTGACCCAACATGACCCCTGGTTTCAACAAAGGCGAGATGCGGCAGGTCGTCTTGGTTTGTCTCAACTTCAAAAGTGCACTGCGGCCGTTAGACAACTAGCTTACGGGTGTGCTTCAGACGCTTGTGATGAGTATGTCCGTATAAGTGAGGCAACTTCACGATTGGCACTCCAAAAGTTTACAGAAGGTGTCATCAACCTGTTCGGTGATCAGTACCTACGCCGTCCAAACATCGCAGATATGGAAAGATTGCTACGTATTGGGGAAGAACGTGGATTTCCTGGCATGATAGGCAGCATTGATTGTATGCACTGGGAGTGGAAGAACTGTCCACACGCATGGAAGGGGCAGTATCAAGGAAGAGAAGGAGTTGCAACTCTCGTACTGGAGGCAGTTGCGGACAGAGATCTATGGATATGGAATTCGTTCTTTGGGATGCCAGGTAGCTGCAACGATATTAATGTGCTTCGTCGATCCCCTGTGTTCGAAGACGTCTTAGAGGGTCGAACACCTCCTGTGAACTTCGTAGTCAATGGTCATCATTATACGAATGGGTATTATCTTACTGATGGAATCTACCCTAGATGGGCTTCTTTTGTGAAATCCATTACGAGTCCACAAACTTGTCAGGATCGTTTATTCGCAAAACACCAGGAAGCTGCAAGGAAAGACGGTGAACGCGCATTTGGGGTCCTTCAAGCTCGTTTTGCCATTATTAAAAAGCCGTCTTTGGCGTGGGATACCGACATACTCCACAATATCATGCTCGCCTGCATCATAATACATAATATGATCGTTGAAGATGAACGAGAGACGTATCAAAATAACGTTAATACCAATGAGTTTATGAATGCTGGAGGCAACGCTAATGAGGATACTACCGAGTACCGTACTGATCGTATTGTGGATATCGGCTTATACTTGTCTCGTAGAACAGAGATTGAGGATCAACAGACTCATTTGCAGCTAAAAAACGACTTGGTCGAACATATATGGAATAAATTTGGTAACAACGAAAACTTAGGCAACTAGGTTTACAACAAATGGTTATCCCTAAGGACATCTTACAAAACGATGTGTAGTTGTTTTTTTTTTTTAAAATAAAATGTACTAGATTATAGTTGTAGAACTGTAATCACGATTTGTACCTCTTTTTTTTTTTTTTGTTAATTAAAATTAGCTGCGTTGTTGTTTAAAAAATATTAATCACAAGAATTAGTTTTTTAAAAAGCTGATAAAAAAATGCGATAATTTCTTAATTAGTAATCACGATTAAAATATTTAATACGTCAATTAATTACATTGACATCGGGTTAATAAATTATAATTATGAAACAAAAAAGATTATATTTACAAAAATAAAATAAGGTGGGGTAGGGAGTATTGATGATGAACCATTGTTTAGTGTTCATTGTTAAGAGTGAATATTGTAAATGGTTTGTTGGGTTGATGTGGATGAGAGAGAAATGGTGATAGTGACCCATGAACCATTTTTTTGTGTTCACCAATAATGATGCTCTAAGAAACACATGCTTTTTATCAAATAAAAACCACCTCGGATTTAGAAACAACTTTATCCCTATTCTCCATTGTGAGGAAACGAACTAGAAAAATACCCTCTTTAAGAAAATAAACTTTCTCAATCCCCATAGATTTCCAGATTCTTCTTAAACAACCCTCAATTACAGGTAAAGGAGGGTTCACAACACAAACATAGCATACAATTGCTGAATTCTAGTAATCTACTTCATCTTGAATGTCCATCCAATTCAATATGCACACAATCAATTTCATTCACATTCTTATTATTCCCATCATTTTTGTGAATCGCACAATCATTGAAATTATCATGATTATCAGTAACTTCCAATTCAACTTGCAAATTTCTAGCAGAGTTCGCATGCAAAACATGGGTGTGAAGATCATGTGTTTGAATAATATTACCTGGGTTTGAGTTCACCTTCTCTAAATTTGCTTTTATAGCCCCAATCAAATCTGAAAAATTTTCTTCGAAGTTCAGATTGTTGCTTAAGTTGCTCAATCAAAGACTTGGGAGAGAGCATTTGTTCTTCAATGAAGCTCGCAATCTTTAGGTCTTCCATTTCTTCCCTAATTTTCTTCCATTTCTTGTTTTTCTTAGTTCTCTGAGTGATGTTATGATGTTTTTTCACCATTTTTTGAAGAGGATTAAGTCCTCTTACCCACTGTCATGGCTTCCAAACGCACAAGATCGAAACCCACGGGCAAGGAGGACGCATGACAGGGTAAAGTCGTAACCCCTAATCAAAAGTATTACCTAAGTCCTCTAACTAATGTAGATAGGGAAGTAGGGTCGAATCCACGGGAAAACAAGTCTTTCTACTCCTAATTAATTATTATAATCTAAATTATCAAGGTAACCAATGTTGTTGTAATTAAAGACTATACTACGAAGATTATGATCAGAGAAAATAAAGTAGGGAGAAATTAAATATTAAAAGGCCTAGGGCATAGGTTCACTAATAAACAATATTCCAGGGCAAATCATAATAAACAATCATCAAGCATTGATTAATCAGATGATAAAGGGCTTTCGCTACGTATTATAATCAAAGAGTTAATTTACCGGTATTAAATCTCATCTGTCGAATCTCGACTTAACCATTTATAAATTAGTCCGCCTATTGAAACTAAGCCTAAACATCAATTCTCATATGTCGAATCTCGAATTAATATTGCTAAACTCATATAATTAAATATGGCCAAACCTAATTGCATTGCATTAAATCAATCAATAGGAAATTAACCAAGCATTGATAATCAACAATCATAAATTCACCCCTTCATATTATTTATTATATCCCCATAAACCCAAGAAATAAAACTAATCAAGCATAATTTAATCTAAACTAATCAAATAAATAAAGCAAGACATAATGAAAGAATTAAATAAAATAACAGAAATTAAAAGAGAAGAAATTGTTACCAAAAGAAATCTGGATTAATGAATGTAATTAAGAACAATGTTGAGAGAGAGTTTAAGAGAGAGAGAATATCCTAAGTAGAGAGAGAAAATCTAAAAGAGAAGGTAATAAAAAATTACGTACAAAATTCATACTTAAACATCCCTAAAACAAATCCTTAAACAAAACTAATCAGGTCCTTAGAGAAACACGCGCCCGATCGGGCCCGCCTTTTTCAGTACGCCCTTGCTGGTGTGCTGCGCCCGATCGAGCCTACGCTCACCCGATCGGGTGGGGCTTCTTCCTTGAGACTGCTTTGTGCGCCCCCGCCCGGTCGGGCGTATGGTTGTCCGATCGGGCCCGGCTTCTTCTTCGAGGCTTGGATTTTGATTGGGCTCAATTCCTCGGCCCAATCCGGATTTCCTCATCGGGTCTTGATTACTTGATCCAATTGCCCCGCTATCACATACCGATCCCTTAATCACCAGCTCTCACCGGTCCTGGGCTTCAAGGATGGTCGTGTCCTCCTAACGCTCGTAGTTGCTTCGTGAAAAACCCGGAAAACGCTCCAAGTGTGCAATTTCCTACAAAACTCAAGCAAAACTACAAAAACACTAGAAAACACAAATAAGTAATAAAAGTGGCCTTAAAGAGCCAAAAACACTAATAATTATGACCATGGGACGGGGGTAAAAACACTATATAAATTGGACATATCAATGCGCACTATAGAATAACTGTTATACTTCCTAAAAAACTGTTATACTTCCTAAAGCTCGTTATGATTGGTTAAATTTGAGATTAAAGGATATTAATTATTTTATGAATATAAATTAGCCATGTTCAGAATAACTTCTCAATTGAAATTAGGTGGGAAGAAGATTACTAATGTAGAGATTTTAGAAAAAACATACTCCACTTTCCATACAATTAATATCGTCCTGCAGACTCAATATCGAGAGAAAGGATTTAAAAAATATTATGATTTGATATCATTTTTGCTTGTGGCTGAGCAAAATAACGAGTAGTTGATGAAAAATCATGAATCCCGTCCCACCGGTTCCACTCTATTCCCTGAAGCGAATGTGATTTCCTATGATGGAAAAGAATAAAAAAAATATAGACCATTCTAGTAGAAGTGATCGAGGTCGTGGTCAGTGGCGTGGCCTTGGTCGGGAACGTGGATATAGTAGAGGTCGCGGAGGTTACTCTAAGAGCTCATATATATTTCCACTGGAAGTGGGAACACAAAAATGATAAAGTTGAGAAAGAAAAACATGAGCCTAATATTTGTATTTGTTGTGAGTAAAAGTTCATTGGTCTCATGTGTTTCGAACACCAAAACACCTTGTTGAGCTTTATCAAGAATCACTAAAGAAAGGAAAGAAGGTTGAGACAAATCTTGTACTTGAAGATGGGGAAGGTGACTTTGATTTTGGCGATGCAACTCTTCTTGAAGTTGCTGATTTTCTTACTACCCCGAAATAAATAATTGATGATGTATTGGTTATGTTGTGTATGAATATAGCTATGGAACTCTAGTATTTACTTATGTTGATTATGTTCATACTTTATGCATATTATGATTGTAATATGATATTCTATGTTTCATGAGACAGTGTACTATTTTAATGTTTTATTTTATTTTGTTGACATATTTTATTATTATTATAATTTTAGACATATGAAATAGAAATACCCAATTTTTGCTTAGGGGCATGCTATATTACATGCAACATCACTAATTCGCATTAGGCCAACAAGTTATCATAAATTCTCCCCAACACAGTTTGTTTTTGGTCAGGAACCAAATATCTCCCACTTGAGATTTTTTGAATGTGCAGTTTATGTTCCAATAGGTCCTTCCCAACGCTCTGATGAGTGTATTTTATACATATATTTATGCCCCATCCCACGGTCATATTTGTGCTTATTTGAGCTCTTCAGAGCTATTTTTATTACTAATGTACATTTTCTAGTGTTTTTGTATAGTTGATATTATTTTGTAGGAATTTGTAGATTTATGACAATTCCCAAGCTTATTAAGCCACTACGAAACATTGAAGTCAAATCGTATTTTATGAAGGTAGATTTAAAGTCAGCACTGAGCTAAATAAATTTAGTTCGGTGATTAAGGGCTCGATTAGAGAAGAGAAGAGTTCAAAGTTTTTACAAGAAATACGACCAAACTACTATTGGGAATTGAACTCATTAAAAAGGGTCCAAATACAAGGAGGTGCAAAGCCCAAATGAAGATGTTCAAAACCCGCACAAGAAAATGGAGCTTCTGGGCTTGATTTTTGACCGGGCCCGATTGGGCGGCCCAATACCCGATCGGATGAGTATGCTGCAAGGTCAGATATTCTTAGGTGCACACTCATGCACCTAGAAATAGGTGTAACAACAGCACAATATAAAGATTAGCTTTTCAAAAAGTTAACATTAGGTTTCTTCTCCTTTATTTTTCTCCTTCATTTTTTATTTTCTCTCTCCTATGTTTTTTTTAATTTTTCCTCTTTTTTTACACTTTTTTGATTGAATTTGTTTCTTACAACATGAAAGTAGTTATTAAGTATGAATTTTTGTGTGAATTTTGATTGATTAAGGTACATATGAATCTTTGAATTCACAAATTATACTCTATTTTTTCTCCTTCCTTCTTTAATTACTTTTTCCTCTGTTTTTTTTATTCTATTTTTCTTGTTTTTTCGATTTAACGATATGGAATTGGTTGTTTATCTGATTTTTTGAATTCATATGAATTTGGTTTTTTTTAGCTTCGATCAATTTCATTTGTGTATGAATTTCATTTGATTTTCTGCATTTTTTTTTATCAATGAACATAATCATGCAAAATGTGAACATATGCATAGGTTCCCTTAATTGTGAACATCAGCTTTTCAGAAAGTGAACATAAGCATAAAACATATGAACATATGCATTTCAGAAAGTAAACATAACAATTCAAAATATGAACGTAAACATTGGTTTCCTTAAAGTGAATATAACCATTTAAAAGGTGAACATATGCGTAAAAAAGTATGATCATATGCATTTAAGAGGGAGAAGATATGCATAAACAGGCTTAAT